CTTGGCGGGAGCGCCGCCGCGCTTCCCAAGCGGCGCACTGTAGCAGTGCGCCACCAGGCCGGCCCAAGAGGTAATGATATTGAAAATAAATTTCAATTACACAATCCATATGTTGCCTTGAGTAACCCCTAACACAAACTATTAGTTCTAGAAATTGAAAATGGTATTTTAATTTAGGTATCCATTATTTATATATTTAGGTGGCTGGCCGAAGTGGGGATCCAAACCCGTGATCCTTGGTATTATAAGGCTTTACTCTACCCAACTGAGCTAACCTGCCAACCTCTAGGTGTTCTTTAATAAGATTGAAAAACAAAGCACATGTTAAATTTCAGTACTAAAACATGGAATTCTTAGACATTTTTATATTCATTAGTGCCTTAGCTGATTTCCTACAAATGTCTTTAATTTTTGCTATATTAAGAAATGTATATTAACTCCCATATATCTGATTTCTAGAGTTATTTCTCTTTAGCTAATTTAACAAGCTCTAGGGAAGTTTCTTCTAATGATAAATTCTGTCACCAGTGCTCAAATGTTCATTTGCACCTTCTCTAAGAAATTACAGTACAGTATGTAAACTCCCTCTGCTTCTTGTCATTTAGCTTTCTTCACACAGTCACCAGGGCTCTGCCTTTTTATCCTCTACGATTTTGTTTACTCTTTGAAGGTATTCATAACCAAAATACCTCCGCCAAGGGGAAAATTTTTTGAAGAAATGACTTTGCTCAGAGAATTTAGTATCCAAAATATTGGAATGGGGAGGCGTTAGGGAGCCATCATACACTCCATGCAAATGGGGGCTTCCTGTCAGGGATACCAAAGTGGGGAAGCGGGACGTACAGGAAATAATAACGTTAAAGTATCTCAGCAGAAAGATAAGGAAAATACATTCCCATCCAAAAAACCGTGTGTTCGGGGGAGGGAGGGTGTGGAATGCAATCTTAATGGATATAATGCATAGAGTCCATAATCTAAAAGATGGCGTATTCCGTGGTAGCGAGAATAATAATAATCAGAATGAGGAGAGAACAGGGGGTGAGGGTCCACAATGCGATCCTTCCCTTGTTCCACCTCAAACCCTCAAGGCAGTTACTAAACGTGGGGATGAGAGGAGAGAGAGAAAGAGAATGAGTTCGTAAAGAATAGACAGTCCCTTGAATGCCAGAACAACTGGAACCTTGTAGATGAAATAACAAATTGATAAAGGGCAATGAAACTTGTATTTACAGCTTGTATTGTGGAACAGCATCCACACCATCTGTGCCAACACAACTATACAATTTCTCTGAGTAAGAAAAGGATTGCAGTAAAAGACAAATGTTTTCCAGACGCCCATGAAGTAGCAGCTTTTCCTACTTAAAAGTAGAATGGGGAATACGCCAGTATCCTAAAACCATGTAAGTCATGAATGCCCCCCACCCCCGTTAAAGTGTTCCACATGTACAATCTAATACCGTATTTCTGACTAGTCACACTTTTCAAGAATCACATCTTAAAATGCTGAAAGATAATCCTGAAAAGAAACATCAAATGTAAAAGTTGTAAACTCTGATGCCATCTTGCTAAAATATTTTCACAGCTAAGTTTAGGAAAAGAGAACATAATTTTCAATTTATGACCAGTTTACTTTATGCCGTGTGATTTATAACTGACTTGCTGTGTTCTGCATCTAGGTTAATCCTGTTTGCATCCTTAGATCTAAGATGAAAGAAACCATCTTTGGAATTTTTTTTCTAACATAAACAGTTGGAATTTTAATGGAGGCATGAATTGATAGCTGGGATGGTTTCAGCCTGAATTGTTAACGACTCAGCTGTGCCCAGAAATAAACTCAGAAAGATGCAATATACAATGTAATACATTTAGTTAGTACATTATGAACAAGGAATCTAATTATAGTTTCACATTTTTATATCCCTTGAGCTACTAGTGGTTTACCATGCCTAAATTGCTCACTGTTTACTCATTCTTTTTTTTATTATGAGGGACCCATTTAGCAAATTACTGCTCTACTGCACTAAATGGGCCCCAGGAGACCAAGCTGAATTAATATGTTCCCTGTTCACTGGCAGGATGAGACCTTATGGTCTCTCTAAAGTCTTACCCCTCCCTCATAAAACTGATAATTTGAATTCTATCAAGAGCATAGATTGCCACTGTCAGCTTAGGTAGTCCATTTTGTAGATATGGCTTGATAGTTTTCAGATTTTAGTGTACACTTTTTAACCCCATAATTGTTTGTCTTTTTCTTATTTCTCACATCATGCCTCACTGAAATAAACAGACATTCTGTACATCACAACATTGAAGTTTTAGACCAGAAAATGAAGCCATGAAGACCCACTCCCTTCCCCTAACAATGTAAATTCAACAAGTATTTATTGAACTTTTATGTGTACGCATCATTCACCCAAAGTAAATAGTATAGATAAAAAAATACCTGCCTTAATGAAGCTTATGTATAGGCATTGCCGCTTTTTTAAAAAATCTTCACTTAAAGTCAACCTTCCTTTGTACAGAAAGTTCTTATTTTAGGCAAATGGGATATAGGAAAATTAGATATACAAATTATATATTAGAATATAAATATTTCTTCTCAAAATATTATTTATTCTTTCCCTTATAAATGAATTAATCATAGGATTGTTTTAAATATGCCTGTAACTAATACATTTGAATATGTTAATTTTTAAAATTGATTTATATCCAGCTATTTAGAAACATATTTTGGGTTCTAACCCGTCCCAAGTACCTAATACCTCTTTCCATCAAGATCCATATCTAACAAAAATTCTTCCTACATCATCCCAAGGCATTTCTTTTGTTTCTTCCATAACTGAAAACAGAAAAGTATCCTCCAAATAATGGTTCCCCCATACTTATAGTCATTAATTATACGTCGAAGAAGCAGCATTTGTCTTCTCTTTTTTGCCCCACAGTAGAGAGATCACAGGAGACACCCTCAATTCCTAGAAATCCTACCCTTTCTCCCTCTCTGTCTTGTCATATCCAGTGGCCTGGACTCCTGGCATATTAGTTTTCTAAGGCTGCTGTAACAAAGTAACAAAGTACCATGTACTAGATGGCTCAAGACAACAGAAATGTATTCTTTCACAGTTCTGGAGGTTAGAAGTCCAAAATCAAGATGTTGGCAGGACCATTCTCTCCGTGAAGGCTCTAGGGTGGGATGCTTCCCTTCCTCTTTCAGCCTCAGGTGGTTGCCAGCATCCCTTGGCTTGTAGCTTCATCACTACAATCTCTGCCTTGTGGTATCTGTCATCACATGGCCTTCTCCCCATGTTTCTGTGTCCAGATCTCTCTCTTCTTATAAGGACACCAGTCTTTGGATCAGCGCCCACCATCATGACCTCATCTTAACTTAAGTACATCTGTAAAGACCCTGTTACCTGAGGTCCTGGGTAGATGTGAATTCGGGTGAAACACTTCAACCCAGTACGTGAAGTGTTTTGTACCACTCCTCAGGTGTGACAACCTGAAATTTATCAGACTTTTAGACTTCAGGGATTAGTAAAATCTCCCTACACCACCCCTCCACACACACACACAGTTGGTAGCCAAACTAAGTTTACTAACTTTTTACTCATTCATTTAAATATTTATTGATTCTGTTATATGTCAAACATTGTACAAGTAACTGAGTATAGAATGGTGAACAAAACAGTTGCAATCATTGCTTTCAAAAACATTTTTAAACTATAAATACCATAAAAATACTATTTTTAAAAAGATACTTTAACACACAAAAAAAGTAGGAAAGACAAACCTCAGCATAAAAGGTGGGCAATTGAACAAAATTAATTTTATGAAAAACTCCTTAACTTGTATTTTTTTCCTTCATGTTATTACAGATCAAGAAAAATGTCATCCTAGACCAGTTCCAGATCTCAAACTGGCATTTGGGAATCACAGCAGTAGAGCAGCAAAAGAGCCACTGTCTCTAGTAGCCTACAATTCTACAAACAGAAATAGATGGTTGTGTTAGATACAGGACTGTGACTTCTATTATTTGAATTATTTTAAAAAAAACAATCATGTAATGATAATAAAAAAAATTTTTTAAAGAACTGCGACTTCAAGAATTCAACAATTTACAACCATCTGTTGTCATATGTATGAATATATTTTAAAACATGACCATTGCACCAGTGCTACATAATATGTGTGATCTTACCATAATATTTGATCTTACCGAAATGAGATGCCAGGAAAAGCAAGCAGAAGGGCTCAAACTAAGGTGGGTGCATTAATAAATCGAATTGAATGATGGTGACAGGGGTAGAATAACATTCTCAGTTTCCTATACATGCCATAGCTTGAAAGGTAGCACCACGGAACATTTTGGGGAAGTTTCATAATGTTCAAAGTTGGAAGTCAAAAGTCCTGGTTGTGTCCTAACTAGCAATGTATCACCTTGGGAATACATTTGACCTCAAGGAGCATTCATGTACAGATTTACAAAATGAAGGGGTTGAAAAAGAGGGTGTCGCTAAAATCTCTTTGGTTCAAAGAAATTCCTGTTTCTGACAAATAGCAAAATTGTTTTATTTGGAATACTGGCAAAAGTTTTTGTTAGTCACAAAGCAGAGACCTTCATATTTAAATGCTATTAACTCAAAATAAAAAAAAAACTCTTAAGACCAATTCTTGCCATTTAAAAAAATGTTTAATGCATTTAGAATAACAGCAGGTTTGTTCTGACATGTAAGAAAACTGCTAGGTTTTCAGTGCTTTGAAATATGAATTTGTCATGAAAAGGAACCAATCCATGACAAGATCCACAGCTTCAGATCCCCAAACTCCAGGGTATTTATCAGTTTCCCCTCTTATGGTCATGGGTGGGTATAAATCTCGTTAGCACAAAGTAAGTTCAACTCACAGAAGCTAAAAGGTCAGTTCCAGTGAGTACGTGGGCACCAGGAGACACAGACAGTGTCAGACACAGTAGTTTGTAATGCCAAAACTTGGAATCATCCCAACTGCCTTTCAGCAGTAGAACGGACAAAGAAATGGTAGCGTACTTGCAATACTAATATGGCAACAAAAATGAATAAATTATCACAATACTAAGCAATACGAATGAATCTTCTTTTGGGTAAAAGAAGCCAAATACACAGAATACTACATGATATCATTTATGTCAAGTTCAAGAACAAGCCAAACTAATCCATATTTTTAAGGGATGTAAGTTAGGTGGTAAGACTGAAATAAAAGGAAAAGGAAAGGACCGGTGTGCTCACTGGCTGAGCGCGGTGCGGCCGGTCTCAAAAAGGACAAAAAAAAAAAAAAAGGAAAAGGAAATACATAACACCAACCAACTCAAGGGGAAGCAAGAGAGCTGTGACTAGGAAAGAGAACATGGGGCTTCAGGGACAGTGTCATGTTTCATGACCTCGGTAGTTACCAGCATCTCTGCTTTATAAAAATGTGTTCAGCTTTACATCCATGTTTTATACACTTTCCAGTTTGTTTTATTTCATAACAGGTATTTTTAAAGATCAACTGTATGGGCCGGCCTGGTGGAGCACTGGATAGTGCACCGCTTGGGAAGCGTGGCGGCGCTCCCGCCCGAGGGTTCAGATCCCACATACGGACCGGTTCTGGTGGAGCACTGGATAGTGCACCGCTTGGGAAGCGCGGCGGCGCTCCCGCCCGAGGGTTCAGATCCCACATACGGACCGGTTCCCGCTCACTGGCTGAGCGAGGTGCGGGAGCAACGCC